AAAAGAAAAGTTTTACGTGGCAGGCATCTTCTACTGCCAGGTCCACTGTGCATTATCCCTTCCCTTTAAGAGCTCATAGTTTAGGAAAAAATCAAACGTATGGTCAAATCATTGTAACGTAGTATATAAGTGGAAGAATGAAGATGTTGGGGAAACATAAGAATGCAAATAATTCTGCTGAGGGTTTAAATTAATCAGAGAAAAACACAACTAAGAAATGATATTTCAGGGGTACCTGGGTGGCTCAATGGGTTAAGTGGCTGCCCAGATCATGATCCTGGGGTCCTGGGATGGAGCCCTCCATCAGGCTCCCTGCTCAGCAGGGAGTCTGCTTCTCCCTCTCTCTCTGCCCCTCCTCCAGCTTGTGCTCTCTCTCTTGCTCGCTCACTCTATGTCTCTAAAAATATATATATATGAAAAAAATTTTAAAAAGAAATGAAATTTCAACTATTGATTAATAGTTTACCAGGTAGAGAAGAGGAAAGGCATTCCATGAGGAGGGGGGAAACTTGTTTGTGTAAATAAATAGATAGGAATGGAAGGAGTTTTGTTATAAGAATATTCATTTCTATGAGTCCTTCTGAGATAAGTAGTAAAAATGTATATAGTGATGTACCATTAAAGTTTGTCTGTTAGCTGGCAATTTCATTAGATCCATTCTTTTTAAATTTTTTTGAAAACAAAGAATTAAACCACTTGATTTTCAAAAGAGAAATCATTAGAGTCATTCCTTTTCTCAGTGTCTGGGATATATACCAAAAGTTTTTTAAAAGTCTGACGTCATGTTTCAATTAAAGTAAGTTATTAAAATTGTGAAATTATAAAATTAAAATTAAAAAAATAAATTGCAGAGCACATGTACAGAGGCATGTTTATAACAAAGCATATATGCCAGAGTACCTTTCTTTCAAGATTACTTCTTTTCTAATTTTAAATATTTAGTTTCATGCCTAATTTTATAATTTTATATTGTTATAAAAATCATTTCTCATTAGTTTGTAATAAATAATACAGAATAAAATGTAGCTAAGATTATAATGTGTGTAATAAAGTATATGGTAAAAGATCTATTATTCCTTCAGTAAATGTGTTGGGGAGAGGTATGTATCAAACTCTGATATTTGACTTTGGAGAACTATTAAATACGAAGTTAGTATAAAAATCAGAAGTAACATTTTTATTGTGATCAAAATTTTCCTGTGTATTTAATGGAAAAGAAAGCTATCTACTGCTAAAAACTAGTCACGTAGGCAGTTGGCATATAGTTTTATATTTATATTAGGAAGTATTAAATTTTTATATAATATAATTAAGCTGACTAAATTTTGTGTAAATATTTCAGAATATGAATTGATAAAATAGGTTTTAACTGGAGGCACTGCTGTGGCTCAGTCAGTTAAGCATCTGACTCTTGATCTCAGTTCATTTCAGGTCCTGATCTCAAGGTTGTGAGTTCAAGCCCCATGCTGGGCTCTACACTGGGTATGGAGCCTACTTTTTAAAAAAAACAGGTTTTGGGTCCTGGGTGGCTCAGTCATTAAGTATCTACCTTTGGTTCAGGTCATGATCTCAGGGTCCTGGGATCGAGCCCCTCATCGGGCTCCCTGCTCAGTGGGAAGCCTGCTTCTCCCTCTCCCACTCCCCCTGTTTGTGTTCCCTCTCTCGCTGTGTCTCTTGCTGTCAAATAAATAAAAGTCTTTTTTTAAAAAATAGGATTTAACTGATTAATTGAATAACAAACACTAAATCTGAAGTGTTGAAAGGGAATGCATATAATTTTTATCCATGGGATTAGCCATCATACCATTTTTTAAAAATATTTTATTTATTTATTTGAAAGAGCATGAGCAGGGGTGAGGCAGAGGGATAGAGGAAGAAGGAGAAGCTGACTTCCCACTGAGCGGGGAGCCCGATGTAGGGCTCAATCCCAAGACCCTGAGATCATGACCTGAGCTGAAGGTAGATGCTTAACTGACTGAGCCACCCAGGTGCCCCTAGCCATATCTTTTAAACAATTATAATTTCATTTCAAAGAATCCTTGTTATCTATATCGCTTTCCTTGCTCAAAAGTGCTCTTTGTTTTAAGCTAACATGTTCCAGCATGTCCTAGGGTTGGTATTAAGAAGAACTGAAAGAAAAATGCTTCTGATAAAATAATTATTGAAGCAGGTTCGGACTCGTGGAGGATCCTTATACTATTCTTGCTGTAGATTATCCCTTGGAAAATCTTTGTAAATACCTGGGGTTACTCTTCACCTGGTTTGAAGACCTCTGTACAATACATGTGATAAGGATCTGACCCTAGATTGTAACAGTGGTGTTGGGTTAGGAGACTGATTTGATATATATATATTTTTAAGATTTTATATATTTATTTGACAGAGACTTCAAGTAAGCAGAGAGGCAGGCAGAGAGAGAGGGAGAATCAGGCTCCCCACTGAGCAGAGAGCCTGATGCGGGGCTCGATCCCAGGACCCTGAGATTATGACCTGAGCCAAAGTCAGAGGCTTAACCCATTGAGCCACCCAGGCGCCCCTGATTTGATATATTTTTAAGATATATTTTAAAGGCACTTGATTAGCTATTGGATTGAAAGATGAGTCAAAAATAATTCTTTAGATTTCTACCTGGGGAGTAAGATAGATTGTTGATGCCATTCATCATATGGAGAAAGTAAAATAACCAGCTGGTTGTGAAAAAGGGGGATGGAGTTCTCTTTGCCACAACTTTATTTAATATGCAAATGTTCAGTAAGTCAAAGCACAAAAAAAAGGTCAAGATACAGTTATAAATTTAGGAGATGTTAGTATATAGGTGAATGAATACTATCTAATAGAAAGTTTTTGACAAAAAGGTAAAGCTCTGATGATGGAACCTTGGAAAACCCAAATTTAAAAGATAGAGAAAAGGGAAAGTGTAAGGGAAATATAATTAAAAATGAAATCTCCTCCTAACCCAGAAAACCTCTGCACGAAGATAGAAGAGAAAGAAAAACTTTATCACTGAATAAGCTTTAATCCTGAAGTCATGGCATCACAAGCAACCTGCTAAGAGATTGCAAAGACAGAAAGAAAGCTCACTTTTTTATACGGCCAGATTCAACCCATTACATAATGTTCTCAAGATAAACAGTAGCCAGTCCTCAAGTAAGAAGACTTGGCGGCACACTTTGTCACACATAGTTTATTCTAAGTTCACTTGGTAATTAGAGTGACCATCTGCATTGGCTAATTGGCATTATCCATAGGAAAAACAAACTTCTCATATCTTTATGATAGATATTTTTGCAACTTGGGAGGAGGCACCTGCCAGAAGTTAAACTCTTACATCCCACAAAAACTGGGAGGTCAAGGTGCTACTTGTTCTGGAAAGATGGTTCCCAGGTTCTTGAGAAAGACATTCTTGCATCATAAAGCTGGCAAAAGTCTTTTAAGCAAAAACTTAAAAAAAAAAAATTACATACATTTCAAAGAGACAAAGAATTAAGTTTTCTAAAGTAAATGCTCTAAGAAAAAAGAGGAGGAAGAATCTTTTCCCTCATTTTCATCAGGGAGAATTCTTTTTTTCTTTTTGATTTGTATTTATCCTTACATGGGAGAGAGAAAACCAGCATTGGAGATGAGGGGGGAAATTGTAGACAGTGCTTTCATGAAAATCAAAGGAAGAGACTGTTTTGCAAGCTTTGGGGGAATGTCTTTAAGAAGATTTATTCCATTTGTGAGATAAAACTAATATACATTTAAAAATATGTGAAAAATTTTTGAAACTAATTGTAAAAAAATAGCCTAACTATAGTATGGACAATAAATGTTATAGAACTTCAATAGCATGAGGTCATTAAGACCTTAAGTAGCAGAGAAAGATCTGTGGAAGTGAGGAAACTTAAATTGGATTTTGAAGGAGAGATTGAATTTATGTAATTCATATGTTTAATCTCATTAGTCTTAAACAGATCTTTGTCACTGTCCTCTGTAATAAGGATAAACTGAGCAGTGGGACCATGATACTCACAGTCCATTAGCCAAAGTCCTCCCTTGCATAGTGTTGATACTTGAGTAGATAATGACACCATTTTCCCCTGTGAGTTTACATTTTTGCGTTTCCTGTCATAGTTGCCCTCCTTCTGATTAACAGGTTCTTTCTTTTATGTTTATAGCTTTAGGTCTTGTTCCAGTTTAGAAGCCATTTTTCCCCCTCCCAGGAGACTTATTAGCTCAATTCATTTAAAGCTTTAACTTGTAAAGAGCCTCTTCCCCGCCCTCCACTCCCCACCCCAGGTACTGGAAGGTACTTTGCAGTTAACTTTGGTGTTACTTATAATAGATTTTTTGGATTTGAGTTATCGATGATTCACTGGGAGGACTCACAGGGCTCAGCATACAGTCATATTCATGGCTATGATTCATTTCAGAGAAAGGATATGTAGCAGAATCAGTAAAGGGAAAAGCCATTTGGGGCAAAACCTGAAGGAAATTGAGCACAAAGCTTCCAAGGGTCCTCTCCCAGAAAAGTCACACAGGACACGTTCAATTCCCCCAGAGAACGTGACAACTCATTCTCTGCCTGGCATGTACCAAAATTCCAGACTCCCAGAAAGAAAGCAGGTGTTTAGTATAGACCATATTGTTTAGGCCCAATGAGCACTCTTCTCACTTAGGGAACTGTGGCAACCCTTCTGAAATCTTAAGTTTCCAGGCACAGTCAGTTGTCAACATTGCAAACAAGGTTTTTGAGGATGGTAGCCTCAGACCTGCTTATGTTAACCCTTTCCTGTACAGCCTGTCTTTTTAGTCCAGTGATTTTCAGGTAAAATCAAGAGTTGGCATATCAAGTAACTTTTTTTTTTAATGAAGTGTAGCTGGTACATGTTACATTAGTTTCAGGGGTACACGCTGTGATTCAAGGAGTCTATATGTAATTTGCTACTCACCACAGCTGTAGCTGCTGTCTGTCACCACACAATGCTACTACAGTTCAAGTAACTGTCTTATGAATGTGTTTCGTATGTTATAGGTATGCTCCAGAATCATTGACAGAGAGCAAGTTTTCTGTGGCTTCAGATGTTTGGAGCTTTGGAGTGGTTCTCTATGAACTTTTCACATATATTGAGAAGAGTAAAAGTCCCCCAGCGGTTAGTGTGCTTTTTCTTTACTTTCGACTTTACATGAGAAAAGCTTTTTCCAAAGAATAATAGTAAGCTTAGGACTCATTTTAGAGCCTCTTATTGCTTATTTGGAAGACAACATCCAACAAAATAATCCTAAACTTAACTTGCATTTTCAAAAGGGAGGAGGTTAGAGAGGAAAATAAATTAGTAAATAAGTAAATAAAAGGGAGGAGGTTGTATACTTTCTTTATGTTATTTTTAATAAATCTAATTTATTCATTCTAGAAATTATTGAAAAATTTCAACATTTAAAAATACATTTCCCTGTTCTAGAATTTTTTTAATAAGGAAGCCAGGAAAAAGAAAATAAAAATCATCTGTAATTAATCTTCTTAAGATAACCATTTTAATATTGTATGTTTTCTTCCAGGCTTTTTAAAATTTTATGTATGAAAGTGAAATGTTATCGAAAATATTTCTTTTATAAAATAAAAGTCATACGGTACACTTTGCTATTCTGCTTTTTCATAAGTTCTATAGCATGGGTATTTTACCTATATTAATAAATGTTCTCTACAAATATAACTTCTAACTTCTGGGTAGCATTTTATAAGAATATAATTTCTGGACAGTTCTTTTCCATTTTTCAGTCTAATTTTAAGTAATACTTCAGCGAACATAGTGAATTTCCTTATGTATAAATATTTATCTCTTGTCACCTTAGAATAAAAGTATAATTATAGGTAAAGGATTAGAAACTCTCTTAAAGGTTTTTGATTATTTCAAAATGCTTTCCAGAAAAATTGTACCAGATTGTACTCTCAATAACAGTGCATAAGAGTTTACATTTTATCATCTGCCAGTATTGACCATTATATTATGCAGTTTGGTTAAATTGATAGAAGTTATATTTATTTTATTTTAATTTGTACTTCTCCTATTAGTGTGATTGAGTGCATATTTATTGGCTATTTGGAGTATATATATATGTGTGTGTGCATTATCTCATGTGCTTTGCCCATTTTCATATTCGTAATTTTTCTTACCTACTTAAAAGAACACTTTATAACTCTCTAAATAAGTGATGTGTGCATAAATATTTCCCTAGCTTATAGTTCAGACTTTACTTTTAGGAATTTTTAACATACAAATATTTTCTCTCCATTGCATTTATGCTTATATATGCATTCTATGTTATCTTTTTATTATGTCCTCTTTTACAGTCAACATTTATTTCAGCTGAAATGTAATATGATGTGTTAAAGCAACAATAAAAAAACGAAAGTAAATATGTTTTAGTTCATTTGTTTTGGGCCCTTCTCAGGGAATTTGTGCCAAGCATATTATAGTTATGGAAATGGCATGATAGGCGTTCCACATTCAGTTGTCTTTTGTGAAATATGATTGAAAAGAAAGGTTTTGATGCCCAAAATAGTTTGTCCTTAAAAGATCTCAAACATATAAGAAGACATACATATACAAAATTTTTCACATTTACTAGAAGTTGGGAAACTGATTCAAATTAAATATACAAAAAAAATCTCATTGAAAAGTGGGTTTGTATTACAGGAATTTATGCGTATGATTGGCAATGACAAACAAGGACAGATGATTGTGTTTCATTTGATAGAACTCCTAAAGAATAACGGAAGATTACCAAGACCAGATGGATGCCCAGATGAGGTACCAAAAAAACCCATTTTTTTATCCACATTCATCAGGTGATTTTATTTCCTTTTTACACAGGGATTTCAGGTCACTTTATGACATTTAATTTGCTGAGCTCTTGGATAAATAGCATCATCATAGGACTGTGGACCTAAGCATGACCGTGATATGTGCCTGTGTAGGACAATTAAGTGGGATTTCTCAATTCATGTCTTCCACCAATTAAAAGATGGCACTTTGTGTTCATTGTAATTGTGGTTTATTTTCTCTTTTCTAGATTTATTTGATCATGACGGAATGCTGGAATAATAATGTCAATCAACGCCCCTCTTTTAGAGACCTAGCTCTTCGAGTTGATCAAATAAGGGACAACATGGCTGGATGAAAGAAACAAACTTCACTCTGAGACCAAAATAGACTTACAGAACAAAGTTTTGTATTTCACATTACTGTGGACTATTATTACATATACCATTGTTATGTATATCATGATGCTAGCCAGCAATGATGTGGAAATATCCATTCAAAACTTTCAAAGTTTAGTGAGCTTTTCTTCATGAGGACATCGGTAAAAGACTTGATGAAAAGTCCTTAGCAAAGAACTTTGTGATTTCACAAAACTTATCAGTCTGTTAACATCACTTTTCTTTGGCAAAAGAAAAAAATAGACTTTTTTCAACTCAGAATTTTGAAAGATGAAAAAATCATAATGTAGATTTTACAATGTTGATGATGCACCGAATACGTATGTACAGTTTTTACCACAGTGAATGTATAATACCTTTGCATCTTGTGTGATGTTTTACACAAGGGCTGGTATTCATTGATAATGTTTCCAAATTTTTCCATAGTTGATCTATAGTAATGTCACTATACAAATTATGCTTAGATAATTGAATAAGCACCTTGTGTTCTTGTTCATCTATATCACTGGCCAGCAATATAAGCAGTTGTACACTTTTAGCTTGTAGTTCTATGTACTGTAAATATTTTTCAAAGCAACGGGAACAAATGTTTAGTTTCATTTGTATAGGAAATTTCCCTTGCCCTAAAGAATACATTTTGAAATGGAACAAGTTTACAAAGATATAACACAATCTATTTTCTTATTTGTCTCCCTTGTATCTCTTTGTGGTGAGTATGTTTTTAAAATAGAACTATCTCCAAATTTTTCTAAGACTGCAGTGAATAGTTTTCTTTTAAAATTTTGAGATTATGAATGCCAGGAATATTGTCATCCATCTAACTGTTGGCTGCTAATAAGATTTTTCAATCCCTGGGACCTTTGGTCATGCATTTACAATTAAGCATAAGCCATAAAATATATTGTTTTTAAATGTATATGCTTATTGAGATGCATAATAGGTTAGGAATTTTTTTTCTAAAGAATATATATTTTAGGGGTTTCAGAAATCTCTTGTAGTCATAGGAGAGATTTCCTTTTGTTAGATTCTCATATACAAGGGAGAAATGAGAATAAATTGGTGAAAAGTATCCTTGTTAATTTTATTCAAGAATGCCAGTAAATTCATAATGTATGTCTTTAAGACAAATGAGAGATACATATTTTCAATTAAGTATAAAGAATTATTTGTTGTTACCATCCTTTGTTTTAGTGCTACTGCAATGTAGAAACCATACATAAAATGTGGGGAGGGGTTGTGTGTGTTATTTAAACAAAGATTAAAATACTTAGTATTTCAGTTAACAAGAGGGTAGTTTATTTTCAATGGTATATGCTGTTTTTTTTAAACTTGTACTTAAAACTTTTGGTTATTTTTTGGAGGTGACTTTGAAATGCAAATTATATATTTTTAAAAAATGCCTTACACAGAAAGTTTGAGATTTTTTGGTTGGAAGGAAGGAAAGGTAAGAAATGCTTTTTACATTATCTTTAAAGCATTTTAGTAGTTACCAAATACAGAAAACATCTAAAACGATAGTATATTAGATTTTAAAAAGATTTCTGAAATTTTGATGAAAGTTGGATATAATTTTTATTTAATTTGTGGACTCCTCAAGGATTTGTATAAATACTACAATTAAGAGATCTTCCGTGCTGCTACTTTTCAAGTCAAAAGTAGCAAATCGTATAATATGCTTGATTTCAGAAACCTAAGTACTTAAAAGATTTTTAAAGGTTTATAACATTTTGTTTGTCTTTAAAAACAAAGGTATTAACTAGATTACTTAAAATTTTTTTCTCTTAATGTTTCAGTTTTTAGTTTTAGGGAAAATAATCCCACATAAACGTTCTGAAGTTTTTAGAGTGGGATGAGTACCTTATTGTAAAATTCTTAAATTTGCAAGATAATTATTATTAATTCAAGATTTGTGATGTTTTAAATTTTTATTCTGACTGTACATAAAAACAAGTTAACCTGCAGCTGTTCAGTTGGTTCTGCACAAGAAATAGGTAAGTAATTATTGTACCAGTTAATGCCAAATGTTTCTTCAAAGTAATATTCTTTAGAAATGATGGTAAAGATTTTCTTAGAAGTTAGTAATTCTGTAAATATTTCAGTATATTAAGTTATACAGTCTTTATATAAATAATCCCCTACTTCCATGCCTACTTACTTTGGGAAATAGTCACTTCCTCATGTTATCTGTATGTATGCTGCCAGTCACGCTCTAATTTGCTGTGGAAGAGTGCTGTCTTACAAATTAAGACTTCTCTTTTAAAGTCAAGTGAAATTTTTACCACAAATATAACTCGATATTTAAATTTTATTTAAATACTTTTATTGTGGAGTAGACATAAAAAAGTACCTACAGTTCTATACCAGGGGAGTGGCGTTATGTGGTACATTTACAGACTGCTGTTTTCTTTGTTGTGCTTTTAGCATGTTTCCACAAAATTGAAATATTGGTGTAATAAATATTCAGAAATTATTTTCTTTTTATTGTCACCTAACCAAGGAAGTTGGGGGGGTATACACATTGATGTAGGGATATGCAGAGAAAGCCTTGTATAAAAAATAGTAAATTTATCTTTTGATTTTTTAAGAAGCACTTCCTAAGATTGTTAACTCCTGATGTGCTCTTTATGAACACTGCTATATCCACTCCACGTCTGGTACTTAAATTATCTCTAACGAAGGTTTTTTTTTTCCTAATTTTTCAGTGTAACCTATTACAGATCTTTCAGTTTGCTGTATTAGAATAAATAATAATAGTAAATATATAAGTCAGCAAGATTATCCAAACAAAAGACTAGGTTATATGTGTTAAACCTCATTTTATTTAAGAAAAAAAAGTCTAAGTATGGATCTGAGAAAATACTTGGCATTTACTCACAGATTTGGACTGGTATACTTAATTTCAAGGTAAATAGGACTAAGTGTTTCACGTTGCTGACAGGAACATTTAGAGAGATTTCAGAATGACGAGAATTTTAAAACTTTCAGATTATTCAAATTCATATCAGATAGCCTTTAACTTTTCACATGAATCAAATTTTTAGTAAAATGCACATTATATCCTAAATATTAAAATATTTAATTTTGTAATCTTACCAGTTTTATTTTACTTTATTACAATATGTTGGTTTTTTTTAGATTAAGAAGTTAATTTCTGTTGTACTTATGCCATATGGGATTGCATGGTTGGTGCAGGCCCTAAAATACTGTTCATTTTCAGTCTTATAAATTTATAAGGAAATGCCTTATCTCCAACTGAAACACTAGTCTTCATTAGTATGGTTGTAAAACTTAATGATCATCATTCCATGATAAGTCCTTTCTTTGCATAGCAAATTGCTTAACATTTTATTTTTGAAAGTAACTGTAGCAGGTTTATAATATAAGAACATTAAAAGAGCTTTAAGAGTCCCTGTTCCCAGTTACCCACATTCTTAGATTTTGTAAATGGTTTTAATTTTAATACTTGCCTAGGAAGCACACCAATAGATGCTATTTATTGGGGTCAAGGAGGTCAGCTTTGAGCAGTGTGAGCAGAAGCTTAGCTTTTAGGGGCTCCTGGGTGGCTTAGTTGTTAAGCATCTGCCTTCGGCTAATGGTCCCAGGGTCCTGCTTGGAGGGAAGACTCTTCTCTCTCTCCCACTCCCCCTGCTTGTGTTCCCTCTCTCACTGTGTGTGTCTCTCTCTCTGTCATAAATAAATAAATAAATAATTTTTAAAGAAGCTTAGCTTTTAGATCTGTTTGTAAATAACAATAAATTGAGCAAGGGGGTGAGATAGAGATGGCACAGCAGGTAATACAGACGCAGCAGGCAGCTGAGAAGGCAAATTATCAGTTGCAGATGATAAGACAGTATCAGAACAAGTACTAGAAACACAAATGAAAAGATGCAATAGAGGGGCGCCTGGGTGGCTCAGTGGGTTAAGCTGCTGCCTTCGGCTCAGGTCGTGGTCTCAGGGTCCTGGGATCGAGCCCTGCATCGGGCTCTCTGCTCGGCAGGGAGCCTGCTTCCTCCTCTCTCTCTGCCTGCCTCTCTGACTGCTTGTGATCTCTCTCTGTCAAATAAATAAAAAAAATTTAAAAAAAATCTTAAAAAAAAAATTAAAAAAAATAAAAAAAAAAAAGAAAAGATGCAATAGAGATTTTTTTGATCAATTATCCTTTCAAGTACAGTTGTATACATAGATGAAAACCTTTAGATGATTTTCACAAAAAAAGATAAGGGGATAATATTTTTAAGAGTAAGTTTAGGTGCTTTTATCTTTTTTATTTTTTATTTTAGGTTCTTTTAATTTTTGTTATTTTATAAAAATAATTTATTTAAGAGAGAGAGAAAGAGAATGAGCAGGGGAGAGGGACAGTAAGAGAGGGGAAGAAGACCCCCTGAGCAGGGCGCCCGATAGATCGGGGTTCAGTCGCAGGATGCCAGGATCTGACCTCAGCCGAAGGCAGACGGTCAACCAACTGAGCCATCCAGGTGCCCAGTTTAGGTTCTTTTAAATGCTTGGAGTATATATGAATCTCAGAGTATGAATTTTCTACTAGCATGTAGTATAAGATTGTGAGTCAGAATTTATTTACAGAAATTATAGAATTTTTAATATTAGAGATTAATTTATAATTTATAATATTTCATATTTAAATATATATTTATAATACCGTATTATATATCCAAATATATTATATATTAATATATAAGTATCTATATTATATAATCATATATTAATATATAGTATTAATGTATGATATATTAATATATAATATATTGTATGATTATATATAACATTACTATTTAATATATCAATATAATAAACATATATATGATATGATGTATGATATATTGTATATTATATAAATATTTTATATTTATAGTAATTTATAATATTAGAGATTAAAGAAATCACAGTAAAGAAAATGGAAACAAAATGAGAAAGATAAATCTAACACTCAAGGTACTCAGTTATGAAAATGAAAATTTTCTTTTTTGACTATTTGAAATACACATATGCTTTCTTCTTCCGCATAATAGTTTTGTTGAAGGTTGCTGTAGCAATGAGTCTTTATAGCTATCCCAGATTTTAAGTATATTAACACAAAGTTTATTATTTTATGTCCTGAGTAACATTATTTTATTTTTTATTTCTTCTTCTTAGTAACATTTTAGACCCATCAATTTTTGGTTGAAGGAAAAGTAAAAAGAAAGTTATTTGCAGGATCTAAGACTTCATTTTGATTCTTAGGAACAAATGACTGAATTTGCTAACACTTTTAATCTACATAACCAAGATGTCTCGCCCTTCAACTGCAAGCTGTGGGTGGCCCAAAGCTAAATGACATATCAGAAGTGGTTTGTGTTAAATGTTTACAATTATTGACTACTATTCAAAAAGCATTTTAAATCCTTAAATCCTATAAATCCTTCCAGAAGGTTTTAAAAAATGCTGTTTTTTTTTTTTTTTAAGATTTTTATTTATTTGTCAGACAGAGCAAGTGAGAGTGTACAGGAGGGGGAGAAGCAGGCGAAGGAGAACAAAATTCACCGCTAAGCAAGGAGCCCCGCGCAGCACTGAGTCCCAGGATCCTGGGACTATGACCTTAGCTGAAAACAGATGCTTAACCGGCTGAGCCACCCAGATGCCCAATCCATGTTTCCATCAGTAATTTTGAGG